GCTCCTGGGAAATTCAGCCAAACAAAAACAACAGACCCTAAATCATGGAAATTATGTAGGCTTTTCTTTATTAGAAACAAATGTTGATTTTTTTTTTTCTGTCTACACCCTAATTAAAACCATCCTCTGCAATTATAGTATGACCGAACAAATATCTTTCAGTCTGCTTTTCAACTCTTACAGCTGCGCTCAAAATGTTTCTTTGAGATCAGCTAGGAAATATATGGCTGTTTAAGAAGGGCTTTTAGAAGAAAGATTTGTCATAAACACTAGGCTTGCTTAATTATTTAATCAAACATGTATCTATGTAATATTTTGTAACATGGATACTTAGCTGATATGCACCAAAAGCAGCAGTTTATGGTGCGTATGCACACTTGCTAAAACATGAAGGCTAGCAGTGTGTTTTTCTATATAACTTTGAGTGGTTCTCGGAAGTTATCACAATAGTGCCTGAAAATAACCCTTGAGTGCTTCCCAGAACATAAGGCTTGTTTAAGAAGCAATTTTAACTTTTTTTTTTTTTTAATTTTTCTATTCCTCTCAACTCCTGTATAATCATCTCTCACTATGTAGTCAGCCAGGTGTATATATAGATTTTACCTATGCCAAGAAGTTAATTAGTAAAATAAAAATAGAAATGCGAAAAGTCTGTGGTGTGTTGTGTATATGTACACACATGTGTCCGTGTGAGTGTAGACATACAAAATGACCCGCAGGTAATGCAGGCACAGGAGTCAATGGAGCTTCTCACAAAGTGAGAGTTTAAAGCAGCTTATTTCATAACAAAAGTTTGAGGTTTACAGTATATGTTTATAGTGTGTGTTTGTGTAGATTGTCCTTATTTTCTAAATAGGCAGTTTTTACATTGGGAGGGTTTGAAATCTGTAAAGTCTAAAAGGCCCTCAGGAAATTAAGACTCATCACAATCCTCCCCAATTAAGCTCCTAAAAATTAAAGTGATGTTTGTGTCCATGTTCTGTTGTAGCCTGTTTATATCATCCAAGATAATCATCTTGACAGCCATCACTTGTTTTATCTGACCCAGAAGTTTAAGACGAGATGTACCCTAACATCCTTACACATCTCTTCCTAACATACAGTCAGCAAAAATGAGAAGGCAGGTTCAGGGTGATTAACCATGACATTACTTTATAGATCTAATGTAGTATGTGTGTATGTGAATCTGTATCTATAGAAATAATAGAGTCAAGCGTGTGTTTAGAGTTAGAAAAAGATTCAAGATTATGTCTTGTATCCTTGGAGGTTAATTTCATGTGATTTAGAGATTAAAAGATTTTCTCCATCTGAAATTGTGAGACAGCTACACACACGTCTTAAATAAAATAAAATAAAACAAAACAAAATAAAATAAAATAAAATAAAAATGAAAACAAGGCTGTTTAGGCAAAGAAGGAAGAGCATCACTGTATGCTGTACGGGTTGGGCTTCCTTGCCTGGCTTAGAGCTGTAAGCGTGCACTGGTATCTCTATACTCACTGACTTCCTTGTACACGTTGTCACAGGAGGCTTGGCTTAATCAGTTGTGAGCTGAAAAAAGTAATATAAATTGGAACCTTTTGTCATGAAATATTTAAATGTGGATATGATTTAATGGCTTTGGGGAGAAAATTTAGCGTGAGAGATTGTAAGAAACAAGAAATCGATTACATGTAAGAAAGGACTTGAACCTCTAATCAAGTATTACCATATACAGAGAGATCCCTAGCTAGTTATAGCTTAATTCAAAGGGGATAATGGTTAGATTTTTTGTTAATTTTAAGTTTTATCAAAAAATGACATTCCTATTCGCTCTTTATCTAGTTTTGCATAATACAATGATTTATGGAAAGCCGTCACTATGTAAATATTGAAGCATATGCTACACGGTATCCATTAGTGTGTTTTCTATGAAATACAGGCATCTGTGCAATTTTTCTTTACTTTTGCTGGGGCGGGGGGGGGGAGCCAAACAACTTCTTGCTGAAAATTAACAAGGTATAGCTCGATATAACTAGTAAGCGTAGGCACGGATCATTTAAGAGCAGCATTCTGGTTCCCTACTGTTTCTATGACAGCGAGGGTAACCCCATGACAATCACACCCTTGACTGCCAGTTCCTCTGATCAGTGGGACTTAGCAGCTGCGGAAGGCCTGGCCCTCCTCATTGCAAATCCTGAGGCTAAATGAAACAAAGGGCAGTGGCGTCTCATTGAGAGGTAGCTCGTGTAGCCAACTGCCGGCTTCTCCGAGTTAAGCTGCAGAATAACTCCCCGAAAGCATACTGGGAGCCCTCGTGTTTAGACCATGTCTGCCTGGTCTGTGTACGCAAAGGGCTGGGTGCGCTGCCGCCGGGCGAGGGACTGTGCCGTACCACTTTCCACTCGCATGTGGGAGTCTGTTACAGGATCTGTACCTGCTATTCTAGTGAGTTATTGTCCTGCTGGCTGTATTTAGTTTTTATTTACTTAAATATCCGTTTTTGTAAAGCATCCATCTGTTACATAAGCCTGTGAATGATTTACAAATTAAAGCAAAAACAAAACAAATTACTACCAGTAGTACATTACAAAGCAGCCTGCAGCTGGCTGCAGACAGGATTCCTAATTCAATACATGTAAGCAGTGTAAATTAGACGATGTTATTTCCATCTTCAAACAATGCAAGTTACAATTAGAAGGAATTAATGCTCGTGGCTTGGGATTAGAAATATGTGTGTATAGATTGGGTCAGAGGTGGCAGCGAAGGCCTAGAGACCAGAATGTGAACCGAGTCAGGTTTTGCAGTTCTGGGCAGGAATTACTCAAATATAGAACAGGTATGGCTGTGGGGAGCTTGTGGGAGAAGTAGATGTAAGAAGCCGTAGGTCACACTCATGGGGAGAGTAGCCAAAGTTAGTTGAATGGGAAAAAAATGTAATGTTAGAACTTTAAAATGTGAACCTGTCCTTTAATTGTTTGTTTGTGGTGTGGTTTTTTCCTCCCTCCTCTTGTCCCATTTTGATTTTGTTTTGTTTCACTTTGTTTTGTTGTTGGGTGGGGTTTTTTGGTGTTCTGGATGATTTCTACTAGATAGCACTGACTGCCTGTAAAATACTGCTCCATCAGATAGGTAGAACTGGGACGGCATAGAAATTAGAGATGTCCACAGTGCTTTAAGGTGTTCAAAGGTGGGGATGTTTCCTGACTCATGCTGCAACCCGGGACCAGCATCTGCGGCATGGTGTTTCCTTCATCACTGTGTAAATATACGCTGAACATTTGCTGCACAGAAATGGTTTCTGGGGCTTTGCTTTGGGGTCAGCTGGGTAAGATTTTCCATAATTAATTGCTGTGAGGGTTTCATAGTCTTGTAAGGTTTGATTGTGAATGGTCATGTGTGGAGCCTTTCTAAAGGTTTTATAGTCGCATCTAAGATACATGGCATTGACCTTCGTCATTAACTTTGTATCCAGAGAGGTAACACAGATCAGAACTGAACTAATAAAACCAGCTGTAAGCAAATAAATATATACTTTACTATTTTGGGGCAAATTGCATTTTCCCGTACTATAGAAAACGTGAGGGGAGGGAAAAATCAATCTTCTGAAGACTGAAGACAGTAAAATAAATAAATAAGTAAGACCTAAAAAAAAAAAAAAAAACCAAAAAAACAAGAAAGGGATTCACAGGCTTCATAATCAAACAAGAGCTAGTGGTTTTTGCAATAGTGTGTAATCCAAAGTGTTTGGATGAAGTTCTGAAGCTGAGATTCAAGATTTTGAAAGATCAGAGACAGTACAGAGGATTATCTTGCAAGGCTTTCAAACTGTTTAATGCATGAGAAAGCATTGGAATAATTCTGATTTGATGGCTTGCAACAGTGCTTGTTGGTTATAGTTACTGTGCTGATGTTATGTCCAGCATTTGCCCAAAAGGAAAGATGCCAATAAAATGATGTATTCATTATATAAGTATTTTAATATGTTTTTATCAATACATGCTGGAATGGATTGCCTGACATTACATTGCAGAATTTTTAAGTCCTACCTTCAGGCAAATCTCATGCTTACTAGCAAAAATGAAAGTGTGAAATGCTTTTTAATGTATATTTAACAACAGATAGTCTAGTGATTACTGATGTGTATTCTCCCTGGATTTTTCCCTTGCTATCAGAAGGCAATGTTAAGAGACAACATTTTTACACATTTATGCTATCTACATCCATCAGATGCTTCCTTTTTACATATTTTTAACTGTCATTTATAACAAGACTGCAAAAAAGTCATCTCTTAAGTCTAAACCATAAAGATTGCAAGCTTATAATCAATTGCCAGTAATAGTCCAGTTATGCTTTAAACCAGGGTCCCAATTTCTACCTTGTGATGCAAGTTTATAATGAATGTGTTTTACAGTATTGCTGTCATGGAAAAAAAAAAAGAAAAAAAAAAATAAGGTACAAGTGTTATGTGCTATTTTTAAGACTTTTTGCCTTGCATCAAAATTTCTTGTAAGATGGCCCATGAGTGACTTCAGTCTTATGTCTGCTTATATTTAAGAAGCAAATCTATCAAATGCATTTATTTAGCTCTTTCTTGTAGTGTCACCATTTAATAGCAATTAAGGTACAATTTTCTATATTTTACAATGGAGTGCCCAGCAGCAGTTCATGTTTTACACTAATGTATGCTAAAGAGTAGCATTGTACATAGATCACTGTTGTTAAAATAGAAGTGTTGAAAGCATTTTAGATCACAGAGCCCTGTGGTCTACATTTTGTTTGCTCTGACATTATTAAACTCAATCTGTTTCTCTGACTGTGACTCTAATTACTATGTTTGCATGGCTGGAAAGTTTGCATTTTTTGGTCAGGTTCTATTAATGCTGTTTGCGTGTTGTTTTTTGAGCTTAGCGTTTCATGTTCAGGCAGCAGAGCACCTTCTATTGAATTCAATAATTATGCAGAATCAATAAGTTTTTTCTTTGTGTTTGTCTTTGTTGTTTCTTTGATATGGCCTCTAGGATGCTGCAGGCAAGGTGCTGGACCGCTGGGCCATCATGTCCAGGGAAGAAGAGATCATTACCCTTCAGCAATTCCTGAGATTTGGAGAAACCAAATCCATTGTGGAGCTGATGGCAATTCAAGAAAAAGAAGGGCAGGCTGTGGCTGTGCCATCTTCAAAGACAGATTCAGATATAAGGACTTTTATTGAAAGCAATAATCGCACCAGGAGCCCAAGTCTCCTTGCTCACCTGGAGAATAGCAACCCTTCCAGCATTCATCATTTTGAAAACATCCCGAATAGCCT